ACCCTGCCAGTGAATTAGTTTTACAGTATATCGCACATTTCATGTGCCTGCTTCGGATAGTTAGGTAGCGTGCATGTGACTGTGAAATGTGTGTGTGTGCATGTGTATTTTTGTTTATTAGCCATTCTATTTTTTTTTTTAATAATTGATATTTTTTCAACAGTACTACACAAAAGCATTGAGTTTGTACTTCTGTCATATCTGCAGGTCTGCCCACAGAACCACAGGCTTCTTTTTGAGGTGTTTGATGAAAACCGCCTGGTAAGAACCACTTCAGCACACATCAATTAGAAATTGCTCCAAAATCACATCAATTGCTCCAAAACCTAGTGAACTGCCTTGGTCAATTTCGAAATCAACAGACATTGGCAGTTTGTTTACCAAGCAAAAGCTTCGCCCACAATAATAACAATAAATTTGAATTAGGTGCAATGTCTATCAATGTGATCTCAGGACCAAATTCACCAGAAACTCCAGCACTGTTGACAGATTTCTAAATGCTTATGACAGTTGTCATTGCCTTCACTTTACTGTGATTGGCTGCTGCATGGCTTTTTTAAATAAAATTTGTGAAATTGAGCATTTCTCAACTTTTTGACACTCTCACCACTTGCTCCCACAATCACCCACGCAAGTTTCGAGAATTGAAAACACTCACCTATTTCCATGATAGTTTACACATACCATAACTGTCATAGAACATTGAAAATGGCTTATTTGGGATGCTTCACATGGGTAGCAACTAGCAAGAATGTTGCTAAGCTAACAACACTACTTCAAAGAAACATGACACTTACAAATTGATAAAATACTTAATTGAGCAATTTTTGCATTATCATTTGGTATTGAATGCAATGTAGCTATTTAATCATTAAATCCAATGATACAGTGTTTCTTAGCTATCAGTATCTAATAAAGGTAGTATAATGAAACAGCCGAAAATGACTGTGATGCCTTAAAATGCATTGTTTTGCAGTCTAGGTAGGCAGCTTGCTAGGTTTTGGAAGACAGCTTGTGTGTTAACTGGTGTTCCAGTTTTCACTTCTTCTCCTCATTACAAAAATTTTTTGTCTGAAAATAGCTTGCACCTCTCAACTGTTCATCCAAAAGAATCATTAGAGCATTCTGAAAAATGACTGCGGAGAAGTTTTTAATATTTTCCGGCCCAGAAAATCTTTTAGATTTAGTTGTTTGACATGCACTGATAGGTACATTATTAAATGATTTAATTGTGAAACAATAAAATAAATTTCACTGTTATGCAACTAATGTCAGTGCTAAACCATTCATTAGTGTCCCCATAGCAACAATGCTCAGTTGCTTTGCTTGGTATGCAGTTACCTACGGTACATTCTGCTCTAGTACAAAACCACTTTTGTTTCTAATAAGGAGATGATGTGAGAACCAGTTTAGAGTTCATTTATATCAATCAGACTGACTGCATTTAAACAATTACTTAAAGTTTTGCGACCCAGTTTGCATCCTGTTTATTGTGCAGAGAGTTGTCCCTCAAGTCGGTTGTCTGAATTTAGAATATTTTCTTAAAATATAGTCTATACTAAATGCTAATGTTTTGAAAACTACAGTCATGCATGTTATTTAAGGCATTATCGGCTGTTTACAGTGCAACCGCATCTTTTTAAACAGTGATTCTCAACTGGTGGGATGCAACCCACAAATGGGTCACAGCAGGGGAAAATTGGTAAATGCAAATAATAACACTTATCAACATTCAAAAGGAAGGAGAAATTCCTCCAGTTTTTTTATGCATTCATATATTTTCCTTATGCAGATTTGGTACTGTGATGATGCCCAATGTAGAATGCGAAGCCTGAAGCAAAACCAGTTGAGAACTACTGAGTACATTTAGTAGTTTGAAATGTGAAGTAGAGCTGATGACTGTCACTTAAAGCGATAGTTCACTCAAAAATGAAAATGACCATGATTTACTCACCCTCAAGCCATCCTAGATATATATTACTACTTCTTTCAGACAAATACAATCTGAGTTATATTAAAAAATGCCACGCTCGTTAACACACGAATGACAGTTGGCGGAATCTAGAGATTACGATTCATAAAGTTTTAAATATGGATCTTTTTTTTACACAAACATATCGCTACACTTCAGAAGGCCTTTATTAACCCCCCCCCCGGAGCCTGTGGAGTACTTTTTATGATGCATGGATGCACTTTTTTGGGCTTCAAAATCTCGACATTCACTGCCATTATAAAGAGTGGAGACATTTTAAAAAATATATAACTCTGAAAAAAGAAAGTCATATGCACCTATGATGGCTTGAGGGTGAGTAAATCATGGGGTGATTTTCATTTTTGGGTGAACTATCCCTTTAATGTCACTAACTATACCCTTTAGTTTGTGACCAGGCAGTGGTATTGTTCTCTGCTGTAAATCTGCGATGGATATGTTGTTTTTGCATGAGTTGCAGTCCACAGGGAAAAGGTTGATGTCTCCCCTGTGTGATGGGATTTGGCCGAGTTTCAGTGCAGAGCCGAGAAGAACTGAGCGTCTTCCTTATAAGTCTGAGGGAGCGCATGGATGGTGTCCCACTGACAGGACACAGATTTAATGAATGATTTTCACGCTCTCTCGCGTACATGCTCTCTCTGTATATTTCTATCCCTCTCTTATCTCTTTATTTTCTTCCCTGTGTCTTCTCATCAGTAACCTTGATGTTCTTTGCTATTTTCTCCTTTTCTTACCCTTTCTTTCTCCTGCTGCTTTTAGTGAGAGCGCCTCTATCATTCCACTTTCTTTTGTGCAAAGCATTTTGTATGTTAGGCTGCTTAAAAGCTAGATGCAATGAACAAGTTCCACTACCGACTGGTGCATATTTTACTGTGGTCCAAGCAAGACAGACAAGATAATGACTTCTCTTTGTAGTTAAGATATGGATTGATGGGTCGTGCACCACAATTTATAGCATTTTTTGTAGATCCTTCCAAAAAACGCTGTTTTGGAGACACATAACCACCCCACAGTTGTGTGGGTGAGCGAATGTGCTTCTTGAAAACAGTCCAGTTTTGATGTTGCTATTTAGGCTTATGTAATGTCGGTTTTTGAGAAATAGTCTTTATATTAGCTAAGTAAATACTATGTGAAGTCGTGGTATGTATAGGTAGCGCTGTGGAAGCCCTCTATCATAATTCCCAGAATGTTTGGCACTGTGAAACTAATGCTTACGCCCACTGCAGGGCATGTGTGCCCTCCAAAACAATACCCCCTTTAGAGTGCGCCCACACTCTCACAATCAAGGCTTTTCTTTCAGTTGGAGTCTGTCTCGCTCACTCCATTCAATAAGATGCTGCACTGACTTCACAGTTTATGTCAGGCTGGTGTTGCTCTAAATGGTGTTGCTGTGCATTTTTAGTAGTTTTACCTCATAAAATCTTATTTACCTTTTATAGCAATCCATACTCTGAATTTGGGAAGTTTACATCATTACTAAGCAACCGGACTTATGATTTCTGGCTAGTGGATGATAAAACAAGCAAACTTGGATCTAGCGCAACTCAGTGTTACAAATTGTTCTGTTTATTTTTTTATTATTGTTAAAAATGGTCTAGTATGAGTTATGTGGTTTCCAATGTTGGCCTATATTCCATTATTGATATACATGCAGTCTTTCACAGCCCTGGCAATTAAGTGGCCTTTGTCCTTCGTTTCTCCTTGGACAAAGCTCTGTCTGTGTGCACTGTCTCTTTGAGTTCGAATACGGACAGTGTAGTCATCTCTCTGGATTTTCACATCGGCCTTAGCAACTTGTTCAGCCTGTCATCAGTCTGCGTCAAATCGATTATGACATCCACATGTCTGTTAGCAGGGGGTTCAGGATACTGATCTAAAGATTCAGATTTTGTGGAGAAAAAGCAAATGCCAGCATGAAAACTTAATGTTATTCACCCCAAACAGATTTCTTGAAGCATTTAGCACAGGCTTGTGGCTTATATGTTATGAATGTGGCTGTCAGTAGTCTGTGATTGATCATATTTCCAGTCATTTTGAGGAAAACGCATAATTATTTTGTTTTTGAAATTACCCGCAATTTAAGATGGTTTTTAAGCTGTGCAGAGTAAAGTAAATTGCTTTGTTGCTTTTGTTTTAGGAGTGGTCATGATTGTAGACTTTATTTCTCTCTACGTCTTATGAAATGGCCCCTAGGCTGTATCCTGATTCATTGTTACTTTGTTGAAAGAGAGTGACTGTCTTGTGGTTTAAAACTTCCCTTGAGTATTTTTTTTAATGGAGACGAACATTTCATCCATGCCAACCCTTAAGAAGCTTGATGGGGAAGTACTGCATGTCTATACAGAGGCCCAAACATGAAAAGCTCTAGTGTTTTTTCCAGTAAATGTACATTTCCTGGGTATTTCTTAGAAAATGTCCCTAACGATAGTGGTAAACCTCTAATACTTCTGCTTACCCATACAGGTCTGAGTGATGACTTGTTTTTGTGTTGTTTGGTATTTTTGGGAGTAAGTACTTCTAAATTCTTGTTTTACCAGCTTGAGATGTGGGTAACACCATGTCCCAGCTTGGCTTGGCCCAGTGTGCCCTGTGTGTGGGATGAGCACAAAGAATTATGAGCTTGTGGAGAGTGTTTCCTGAGTCAGCTGTGATCCTTCTCTCTCTCATCCCACCCCTGGCGGTCTAGTTCCTTCTGACAGATCAGTAGCAGCTGAGAGAGTGCTGTTTGGGTCTAACCGGGAAGTGGGGGTGGGCGCCATCTGGATCATGTGACTTTGGCCACCCTACCCTCACCTTTGCTTGCAAGAGCACCAGGCGTCCTTATCCAATCATGCCTGGAATGCAGCTTGCCACTTGGGCTATTTCTGCTGTCTGTCGCTATCGGACTTCAGCTCAAACAGTTTGACACATGGGATAGTTTTTTTTTCTTCATTTCCCCATCTCTCCCATTCTTTCCAGCTTTTACTCTCTCTCTCTCTCTCTCTCTCTCTCTCTCTCTCTCTCTGAGAGGGGGAGAGCAAAAGGGGATCAGACACACTAAACAGTGGGTGAGACAGATCCAGCAAGAGCTGGACAGAGACAGATCAAGGCAGACAGGAAAATGTCTCACCGGCTTCGGCTGTATTTTGGATCGGGTCGCAGTAACACTGCACCAGAGTTGGAGTGGCTAAATGGGACAGTGGAGGACGGAGATGAGATTGGCTACAGCGGCGCAGGGGCTATGATGTTCCATACGCAGACTCAAAACGGAGGACTTTCAGAGATCCCGGAATCGGGTGCTTGTTCGGATGCCTCTCTACAGCGTAGCTCTTCCATGTTCATCCCACAGCTCCAGGGTCAAACTGAACCACGGATGACCAAGAGTACCTCTGTCCAGATATCTCTTCAACGCTCAACTGCACCTCAAGAAGATGCATTGCCCTTTGATCCACCTCCAGGGTACCCTCAGGAGCCAGCTCCTGCATACACTGAGACTGGTGAAAGCTGGCCCTTACCTCCACCTCCAGCTTACCACAGAGGAGATGCCCCATCCTACCAAAATGTGGAACCAGGTACTGAGCCTATCCAGCCTAAGAGGCAAGTATTTTGCATTCGGCCATGTGATGGACAAAATGGTTATGCTAGTTTGGGTGTACCCAATAATCAAGGGATTACCATTGGAGGTTTCTGTATTCGAAGAAGATCCGCAGATGGCTCGGATGTCCAGCAGTTCAGGATCATGCCATACAGTGAGAATGGCCAGAATGGCCACCGTTGGTCTGTCCAGCAAAGCTCAGACAGAGGTCCTGGAACTCAAAGACTTGTCTTCCAGCTTCAACAGGACCAAGGAAGGCACCTTAGCCCTACTCCTCAGGCTGACGTGAGTGATTTGGGCATCACAGGTACTAAAGGCAGCCGCTTGGTGCGGTACCCTCGGATCCGACTTGAGAGGAGCTCTTCACAGCCGTTGCATCCCAGAGGAGCTCCTTCCCGTCTCGGATCTATGCCAAATCTTCATGCCCCAATCTCAGAAATGGAGACCGAGAGTGAGATTGTTGAGAACGGTGCTCAAGGTTGCACATTCAAAATTAGGAAGGAACAGAACTCCCGACAGCCCAAGTTTAAGATCTATTTCAGCCAGGGAGGCGAGCACGGCCCCATCCTTGCACAGGATATTAGCTTTGGAAAGGTGCCTACCTGCATCAATCCACAGGTAATTACAGCAGAGGGTCTAAAGTTGAGCTTGAAAATGAAGCGCTTAATTTTTTGTACATTAACAAGCCATTGTTTAGTTACCCAAAGTACACTGTAGGGTGTCGACTTCTCAAAGTGTGTTTTAATAGTTTGTAAGTGGCTGGAGAATGGGAAAAACAGATGAAAGAAGAGGTAGCAGGATTTTGGTGGAGGAAAAAGGAGGTGGGTTCAGGAATGACTTACCCACATTCTGGGAAGTGAAAATTCCACGAAAATGGGGGCCAAGAGCAAGACGTAACCACACTGTCTTTAGTTTCCCAACAACCATACAAACTCTTATACTCAAGATATTCAAGAAGTGGAAAATATATAGAAGCCAGGATCAATTTCAGATGTAACTTCATTCATGGGGGCTTGTCCACTTGTGTTTTTCCCCCTCTCTTGAAGAGGTGCCTGTTCTATCTTTAGTCCCGTGTCAAGTGTTGTTGTTGGTTTTGAAAGCGGCCTTTCTCATTTGGCCTGGGTCACTGTTTATCTCTTGTAACAGCTGTTCTGTGGTGATTAAGGTCTAATATATAGTTACACATACTGCTGTTTTTACAGCACTTTGCTGAAGTGTTATTGCTCAAACGTAGAAAATTTTCATGCATCATAGTTATATTAAGCTCAAGGCTTTGTTTTCAGAGTTTCTCACATCTTAAGCATTTGCTTTTTCCAACAGTCCTCCTGGTACTTTTTATTTTGCCACATGTAATTTGTCATTCCCTTCAGGTTACCATTGCGTTTACTGGCTTTGAAAGTCCCTTCAGTGATTCATTCATGGTTATCTTAGAAACCAATTCATCAGTGTAGTGCTGACACACTGTAAGTGTGTGACATTCATCAGTTTGTCACCAACCATTACTAGTACTAGAACTTACTAGTGCGCAGAAGTCATAACAGCATCTTTCCGATGGAATGTGGAAAGCAGGACTTCAGTTTCACTGATGTCGCACTTGCAAACGGAAGGTCCGGAATCTCGGAGACGTCCACATTCCGCAATCAGGAATGTCACACACATACCAATTTCCGAGGCAGCTAACGGCAGCATATATATTTCCAGTACCTGCTCAAAAGGCTTTACTGGAAATGAGTCAGTCAAGGAGCTGAATGTTCCAGCAGCAGAGTTCTTCATCTGAACCTCTCTCACACAGATCTGTTTACTTCTAGCTGTCAAGACTGCTCTTTTGAATGCCTCAAGCATGTATTTGTTGATGTATTTTATTAAATATTCTGAATTATCTCTGAAGATAAGGCTTGTAATACATCATAACCTGTAAAGTCCTTGTTTACAAAGAATATACGCTCTTACAATACAGTTCTGTATCAGTACTTGTTTTTAATAAGATGTTTTGCTGAATTTACCAAATGTAATAACTATGAAATTTCATTCGTCACTTATTGCATTCATTCCCTGCGGGGTGCATGGGTTTTCTGTAGACTTGCCAGTGCTCTCAGGTTAATACATGTGACTGTTTGCTGTCTCACAAGTTTTAGCAAGCGTGATGAAGAGATGTGGGGGGAAATCTCACTTAAGTCTGCTGTGGCAGCTTTCTTACAGAGCTCAGGATTTAGAGCTTTAAAAAGTCTGTGTGTGCTCATAAGTGAAAAAAGAAGAGTTTGAGAGAGTAAAAATGAGATTTAATGGAAGAGTCAAGCTCTGTCAGCATTCCCTATTGCTCTGGCACCTTGCTGTTGCCGCTCAGACAGGAACCCTGCTGCTAAATTTGTGGGGGCTCCAGTCTTATTTTAGCATCGCTGCGTGTTGCGGATCAGTTGTCGGAAGTTGTTTCTCAGGTCCTTTTGTCATAACCCTTGACCCTAAACTTTGCGGTGCCTAGCTGTGTGACCTACAGCTTAACAAAGTAGTGGGATCCTTTTTTCTTGCTTCCCTCCTTTTGATCTGTTGTTTGGTTTATTTAACCTTTTTTTTTTTCTTTTTTTGTGTACACGTCTCTTTAAACATGGCCTCTTGGTTCTCACTTCCCTGCTGTCTTGTTTTCTCCGTTTCTGCACTTTTCGGCCTCTTTAATGGCTGGAGTCGTCTGCTAACTCAGCTTTGTAATGGACGATGACTAAGCAAATATTTATTTTTAACACTCAGTCAGGGCATTGTGTGGGAACGGGGCTTTCAGGGTCATAAAGACATGATATCTCAATGGTCTCAAAGTCGCTGTGAAGTTACAAGACATCAGTTAAATCATTTTTACTTCTTCAGAGCATCACTTTTATTGCAGAAGGATAGGAAAATTGTTTCCGTAGTGACGGGAATCTTTGCCAAGACACAATGGATGTAATTCTTCTACAGTGTGACCTTTAAGATTCAGCTAGCTTCTTGAGCTTTCTAGGTCATTCCTTCATACCTTTGGGTTAATTAATGGCTTAATTTTGCTTCTGTTTGTGATTCACAACTGCTGTTGGTGGCTGTAACCCCATTTGGCTCTGAAATGCTTAACATTTAATCAGAGGAATGTCTCAGACATGGTGGGTTTTCCGTGATGAATAGGGGCTTGAGAATGTATTTGTGGCCCTGTCGTTCACTCACCACCACAAATAGTGACTCATACTTAACCTTTACACAATAAATGAGCTTTATTGTCCACCCATTCTGCTGTTCCGGTGCTCACTAACTGGGTTTAGGAAGAATTATTTTATTTTATTTTGTTTTAATTAGTTTTTCGTTTTGTTTTCACTTTCTGTGCTCTACTTTGCTTATCAAGAGTGTTTTTGGACTGTTTTTCTGCAGTGTTGCTAAAGCCTTAGGATTAGTATTGCATTAATGTCATTTTTATTATGATGCATGATCACGGCGGTTCATTTACATTCAGTGCCCTAAATATTGTGCACCCCAAACTGGGGGTATGTACTCGTCCTTGTTGTCTTAATAAGTTTATTCCACACACAGGCTCACATTGGTCATGATCGGTCAAAGAATGGGCATTTCAACCATGGTCAGGTAATCTACTGGTCTACTGTGACCCAAACACCTGACAGTCACAGCTGACAATCTCACAGTTTGGCTTATTGGAATGGGTGGGTGGATTGAAGGCTTGTGATTGGCGGTTCATACATTAATACACTCCTGCTGACTTTGACTTTTGACCTAGGGTTGTGCAATTAATCGCATGCGATTGTCATGCGCATCTCGTCAGTAAAGCCGGTTCCGTGATTGGTAGTAAATCGCCATCACCTGCTTTCAGATGGAGCGGCATTTACTACACAGAGCCGTAGTTCACTGACAAGCTAGGCAACATTGCGTTCATAATCGCAGATGAATCGCATTCGATTATGAACGTGATGTTGCCTAGCTTGTCAGTGAACTACGGCTCTGTGTATTAAATGCCGCTCCATCTGAAAGCAGGTGATGTAGATTTACTACCAATCACGGAACCGGCTTTACTGACGAGATGCGCATGACAATCGCATGCGATTAATTGCACAGCCCTATTTTGACCCTCGCTCATTGCCCATCTCCTGCTCTTCACTGGGTTGGTTGTCAGGTTTTTCCTATTTGAAGTGACGTTTTTGAAATTAACCACTGCCCTTATTACTGTATTTCCTTCTTTTTCTCTTTTCTCTTTCTCATACATTCTCGTTCATTCATTCTTCTTGGGTTATACAGGTGTGTATTTATCCTCATCTTTGTGGTTTTCCTTGCCAAGTCCTGCTAGGTCACTGTTTCACAGCCAAATCTCTGAATTACTATTTTTTTCTGATATTTTAATTTCTTCTCACTCTCTCTCTGTTGTTTCTCTTTTTTTATACAGACCAGAGATGACTTCCTTGGGCAGGTGGATGTGCCTCTTACCCATTTACCGGTAAGCTTATGTGCTCTTATGTTGCTCAAGTAAATACCTGGTTTGCTGTTGTAGTTTTAGTAGCAAGTTTTAGCTCTGAACTGAAAAGATTGAAGTTATTGAGGGTCACATGACTGTAATTAAGCAACTCAAATGTTGGAGCCCATATCCCTGTACGGAGTGGAAAGGGACTTGCTTGGAATGTAAACACGCAGGCTGCTTCTGAGAGGGCTATCCCAACTAAAAAAAATCTCTCTGCCAAAAATGGGACATGCTTCCAGGGTGGCCCAGTTTAGCCCCTACCACAACATTATTCAATAATGCAATAATGTCTGGTCAATTCAGCATTCCATTCATGTGTAAATTAATTTTATGATGTGGAATACTTGCCCTACATACAGCTTTTCTCCCATTGTGGTACTTTTTGGATTTACAGTCTTAAAATTGTGTAATTTAAATTGGTGTTTCTGATTTTTCAGTGTTTACCATTTGATCTCTTTAAAAAGTTTATATATGTGTGTAAGCCTCCACATTTTACCTGGGAGAATAAGTATGTTATCAAGCTGCATGCATGCTGATCAGCTACACTTATATAATTATGCACAAAAAAGTGAAACCGTGACAAAATAAGAGTAGTAAGAGAATATAAATATGTTTTATGTGTGTGAAAAACATGTAAATGATTAATGTAAATAAATATTAAGAATTATTATAATAATTATAATTAAGTATCATTCATGCAAATAATATAGAAATATAAAGAAAAATGTATATTAATAATAATATAAATGTTATGTAAATTCTAAATACATATTTGTTATTAAAAATGAATATTATATAATATTTTTTTAACATTAAAAAATATTTAGTTTGAAAAACAATATAAATGTTTTCAAATGTAAATACATTTTGTGCTTTAAAAATGTGTAATGTATTTGTAAGTTATACATTAATTACATTTAGTAATTTAATTTTCAAAAAAAAAAATTGTTTGAAAAATAATATAAATATTTTAATATTTACGGTTTAGTACAGTAATAAATATCTAGTACTTTATTGCTTCAAAATCATCCAAACCACACAACGTCTCAAAAAATATAGGTGTTGACAAGTTTTGTGCTTGACAAAATCATTGGTTTTCAATATGGTATTTTGTTCCAGTTTACTTGTTTTGAGAAAGAGATCGTTTTCCTGGACATTTAGGAATGGAACAGCTCTTGGTTTTATTTAAAGGTGACATATTATGCCCCTTTTTACAATATGTAATATAAGTCTCTGGTGTCCCCAGAATGTGTCTGTGAAGTTTCAGCTCAAAATACTCCACAGATCATTTATTATATAATTTTGAAAATGCCTATTTTGAGTGGAAGCAGAAACAAGCTGTTTTTCGGGCCTGTGTCTTTAAATGCAAATGAGCTGCTGCTCCCCGCCCCCTTTTCCAGAATAGAGCTGCTCCTTTACAGCTCGTATCTGCTAAAAACATCTGTTTTGGTTCTGATTATCATGTTTATCACGCTGAAATCATGCGTTTTAAACCATACGAGTTTAAACTTCAGATATAAGGTTTTCTGAGCGCACACATCCGAAGCACATGGACAGAAAGCTGCTGTCACAGCAACCTGGAAAAGTCAGATTTTCATGATATGTCACCTTTAAACTATTTCCAGTGGCGAAGTGAGATTTCTTTGCTGGATTGCATATTTAGGCTCGCACACACAGAGTCTGGTCTGTTTTCCTTGCGGCCGCCTGCATATCTACTGTTCAGTTCTGCGTGATTGCAGTCCAGACCACGCGCTTCTTCTCTGCCTGTTCTTATTGCTGAATATTTAAAAGCGGTTTCCTATACTTGGATCAGACGTGTATATATGGTTTTATATTTCCTTTGGAGTTGGTATATTCATTAAGCTACCTTGTGGACTTTTGGTTTAACTGGTTTTGAAATCTGAATGCGTTTCACCTCCTGTTTGATCTAGACTTGCCAAACAGGAAAACTCTCCCGTTTTCCTTCAGGGCCTCCAGACTTTCCTCAGTTTTGGTTTCGGGCACTGGCAGAGGTGCCAATTCCCTCAATTTCCATCAAATTGTAGCCACTAATGACCAGCCGTGAATATCCAACCTGTGGGCAGTTCAAATGTAACAGGAGAACAGTGTTATATAAGACAGCTGGACGTCATCCAAGGGTCTATATCTCCCGTTCTCCAACCCCCCAAACAAGCTGGGACTGTTATGCTTTGTAAGACTCTACTAAAATTGGCCCAGATTTGATACATGTTTGTTTATTTTCTGTGGTGTTTTGTTGATGTATAGACAGAGGACCCTGCGATGGAGCGACCGTACACGTTTAAAGACTTTCTCCTGCGTCCAAGAAGGTCAGTGGTCATGCAGATTTCACAAATGCAATACAGGAACATTAGCAGTTATATTTAAAGTTACAACAGTGTTGATTTTGCACTTTGACCTTATTCAGAGGACTGGATGTTTGATATAATACAACACATTTGAGATTTGTATGTTCTTTCGGAACGAAAGGTGCAGCTACCACACGAACACCTGTGAATCCCCTTACAGCAGTTACAGCCAGAGATTTTACACAGGAACAGTTAATACATGTGGACTGCACTTTGCTGTATTTTTAATGTTATCCTTGATGACTACTTCACTGTAAACTATATTTTGCTATACAGTGATTCTTAAACCTTTTTTTTTAACTATTTAGTTTATAGACAAAATATTGGGGCTCTTAAAATATTAAAAATAACTTCAAACAATTTTTCAAACAATTAAATTCCTTCTAATTAAGGGCTTAACAAATTCAGTTACAGCTTATGTAAAGAATACAAAATATGTTAAAAAAATACTAGTTTAGTATACTCTATGATGACTTGTGTGATGACATGCTTTTATGTCCTGTAGCCATAAGTCTCGGGTGAAAGGCTACTTGAGGCTGAAGATGGCCTATCTGCCAAAAAACGGAGGACATGAGGAAGAAAGCAGTGAGACGAGAGAAGAAGCTGAGGTAATTAGCAAAAACTATTTTGTATAATCTCAAAAAAAGAAAATGTTCATTGTCAGGTTTTTCTTTCAGCAATAAAGGTAGTAAGAATTTTTATCGATAGATAATTTTAAAAAATATGACAAGATAAACTATATTAATAATACACTAACAATGTTTTTTTGAATGTAGTAAATTGATTCTGACAGTCCAGTTTATCAACTAAATCATCAACTCGCTTATAAATGGACTAAAATGAATTAATATGACATTCTGAAATGTAAGTAAATGAGTAATAAATTAATTATTAATAAATAAATAATAAGGGCAGTGGCATCTAAATTACAGCACATTTCTTAAAAGATAAAAACTGTAACTGAAACTTGCCTTTTATTTCAGAAGAAATCATGTAAGTGGAATTGTAGTTGTTGAAACATGTAGATTTGCATTCGATGCAGAGATTACTCCAGTATTATAGACCATGGCAGATAACTGACAGATGGCTTAAAATATATTTTCTGTCCAGAATGGAGACGCACTTAAATGTCTCCTTTCTTGCTTTCTCTCCTGCTTTTTAGTGATTTTAGTGTCTATTCATCCTCGTCCCCACAGACTACATGGCATTTTTTCGTTTAAAGTATGACATTTGGCTTGAACCGTTTGACTGTCTGGCATTTCCTTCCTTTAACTTTCTTAGCTTCCTGTTCTGTGACTTTTATTCCCTCTGTTCAGTTTGATTTTTTTTTCTCTCTGCTAGTGGAGAGTGCTGTGTCATAGCAGCTGCAATACTAATCATAACACATTAAGATGGAATAGGAGAAAGTATTTAACATTCAAAAAAATTAGACACTTTGAGACTTTCGACTTTTGAAATGTTCTTGAAAACAACCTTGTCCCTAGATTTTTTGTAATGAACATTTTTGGTCCTAAAATACTAACATTTTGATGATTGTCTCACTCTCACTTACTCTTCTGTCTCTCACTTTGTTCTTCTCAGGGCTGGGAAGTGACAGACTCCATGGATCCAGGTTCACAGAGACCTCAGCAGCTCCTGCCTCCGCTGCCTCCGGGCTGGGAAGAGAAGGTGGATAACCTGGGACGGACATACTACGTCAACCACAACAACCGCACCACACAGTGGAAAAGGCCCAGTAGTGTGTATGTGACCCCTTTTGCCATTTATCAAAAAGCACATGAGCAAAAACACTGAAAAACTAAAATCAAAGATATTGATGTGATGAATTTATCATGATTTTCTGACAACCTTACCAGACTCTTATATGTGTGGAACACACTTTTTTTCTCCCTGTCTGTGCTTTAGGGATGTGGTTTCAGAAACGGAAAATGATAATCACTTGCGGCAGATTAACCAGGAAGCCCACAGAGTTTTCCGCTCTCGACGGCACATTAGCGAAGACCTGGAAAACGAGCAGCTGGACATCAGGGACATAGACGACGTTAGTATTTAACCCTGACCTCTGCACCTATGACGTGAGCTAGATAGCATCATTATTTTTGTGAAAAGCGTCTGGTTCTAAATAAAGCTTCTCACTGTGGTTAAAAATCAGATGTTTTTACATATTTAGTGCCATTTTTTTTTTTTTTTTAATAAAAGCAGTATTATGTTAGGTTCTCATGCATATCTCCCCTTTTCCAGTCATGGGAACCCATATCAGAGGAGGACCCAACTTTAATGACGGACAGTCTGAACCATTCTCTGTCTGGACCGGCCTCTCTGGCAATGCCCCTCCCTAGCACTCCAGAATTCTCAGATGAAATCAGCCTTAGGTTGTCTCTCGCTCCAGACACGAACGGAGAAATCCCAGGACCCAGCTCTGCTGTGGTAAGACAGAACAAAGTTTTAAATCTGCTGTCATCTATACATCTATATTCGAAGGGCCACAGAAGGTGTTTTCGCACCGGAGGAACCCTTTCATAGTTCCTAGAACTATTACCGGGAGTTCTCTGTTTTTGGCATGTTTGCACCGCAGGAACTAGGAACGTATGCATTTCTAGGAACTCCATTTGGGGGAACTAATTAGCTCCTACTTCAGAGTAGGGTCTAAAACAGTTCTATAGGAATTACCAGTGACGCAGTGTATGCTAATTGGCCAGACGCATACGAAACACAGTCTACCCGGCATTTTTAAAAAGCCTTGTAAGAATATTTACTCCACAAACATGGAAAACAACTCTAACGGCGTTTACCTGTTGCCTGCAGCGTTATGTTTTTTTCTCAGCCTTGATGATAACACTGCAAGTTGTCATTGGAGATTTAGTCAGATTTTCATGCTCTTAATCGTGCAATTTGTGCATTTACATTCCATCTCCATTATCACAAACCCCACAGCACACAACAAAAACAGCTCCGATCATGGTGTCCTTCATCCACCAGTTGTTCACATTTGTAAATGCCACAAATAAAGACGTCGCTGTCGGCCGCTTCAGAGTTCCTGCTGCCAGTGCGAGTGCAACCAGGAAAACGGACTGAGGGGGAAATTGGTTCTCTAGGAACGACCCTGCTGGCTAGTTCCTAGAACTACGTGGTGCGAAAGCGCCTAAAGAGAATAAGAGACAGAGGAAAATTAATAACCAACTACTCTCTATATATATTTATATATAAAAAGATAACCCCTATTTGAGCATTTGCTTCAACATTTTCAGAGATGTGAGCTCTTTCAGTGCTTATAAGCCTGCCGAGAGCAGCCTTACCTCAGTCAGGTCTGGCTCTGATGTCTCTATAGTGGTTAAACATGGGCAACAATTCATTTTAGGTATATCTAACAGGCAGTCTTTGGTCTCATTAAAGTATTATGTGTTCCAGAGCAAATAGTTTGAAAGTTTCTTAACTTTATATTTTTATGTAACTAAAGCTGTATATCAGAGCACTGCCTTTGTACTTTTGACTGAATTGCTTAGCAACTTTTATGATGGCTATTGTTGTTTATTAAATATTTTTGTATGTATAATATTTATATAAATAATAGTAGTATTAAATAGTATGTTATTGAAAAACAGTCTGTGTGTTAGTGATTGTCATTTTGTTTACATTGTTACACCATCAAGAGACTGTGAGTGCATCAGTAGCAAAGACTTTTATATTGAAAGAGACTGAACGACATTTTATAAACGACATTGTTTTTTCTTTCAACAACACCTTGTAAGACGCAACCAACAAATGCACTGACCAGCGTTGTCATGGGAAATCCCCTTAACAGTTGAAATGATACAATAACAAAGATATCGTCTTCCTCAGTGGACATTCAGGAAGTAGTTCAGCACACAAAAGGGTTTTTAAGACACTCCATGGTTGTTTCTTATTTAAACATTTTTTTTACACATTTGCACCATCAAACTGTTGTATAAATGCAGTATCACACTTGTAGCTGTGTGACATCACATCTGAACATCTGAGTCATGTCACATCACATCTGAAATTATCAGAAAAAAAAACATAACAAATTATGTTATTATGGCTCTATATCAGCACAGCTACTTGTGTGGGTATTGTGTGTGATTTTCTTGAAATGGTGAGTCAAATTATGTTAAGAGCGTCAAAACTAATAGCTGACTCTTCACACGTGCACCTCTGTACACGCATGCTGAATCACTCACTGAGTCATTGTGGAGGCAGCGCAGGGGTCCTCTGTGAACTTCTGCAGAAAGGAGCCACTCAGTTGGGAAAAATCTCTTACTATGGCTTTGTTCACAATGCACTTAAGACTGGATTGTTTTTAAAATTCAATCTTTTGGACTGAGTGGCTTTTGTGGTATTTGCAAGTAATGAAACTGGATAATACATTGCTTATTTGTTCAGACAATGTAGTTTGCATGTCTAGTTGAAAAACTGGAATAGACTCAGACAGAATCTGGTGTCTTGTTTCTATTTCTAATTGTGTTAAATAGACCTGAAGTTGCTACACTATTTTTTTTTTGTGGCTGAAAGTATAGTCAAATTAGACTAATAAACAAAACAAAAAAAACAAGGGGCCTTGAGAAGTATAAACTGAAAATGTTGCTTCTGCTAATGCCTATCATGACAACTGCCTCAGTGTTGAATTCACAAAGTGTATCAGATACATAAGCGCCAGAGGCATTACTGTTTTTACACATTCATGCATATGTGTTTGAAATCGCTTGATCGCTCACTCATCTATCATTCAATACATATTGAATAGCACATGTGAGTGTAGATGAATTCAGATGGCTTTAGACACTACTGAACTTTGTGTAGACACTACTGAACTGAATTTGGTCATGTCACATCACATCTGAAATTATCAGGGAAAAAAAACTACTTGAAATCATTGGTTGTTAAAAAAAAAAAAAAATAGCATTAAATATGAATTAAATCATGAAATATGAAACTTACAAAAAAATACTTCAAAGCAGAATTTGTAAACAAAATGTTTATTATTAAATATAAAATTATTTAAATTAAATATTACGTTTTTTATATTTCTTTTCAGATTCAATTAAGCCAAAAACAAAATCAGATTTTTTTTTGTATGTCTTGACTTTTTTTTATGACTTGGCTGAATTCAGAGCCTATGCCGTTCAGAGGACCACTTAGAAAATGGCCACTCTGAATGATATTAGATATTTATTTATAACAGTGTCTAATGCCTTTTTATCTCTTTCTCTCACTCCAGCAGAGTCATCTTTCCTCTCGGCTACGCTCCTCTAGTATGACCGATGGAGTCAGTGATCAAGCTCAACCTCCCACACCAACGGTACATCTGCTTTTCTCCTCCTCACCTCTCCTTCACTCTGCATGTGGTGTTTTTTTCACTCACTCTCAGTACTATACAATTTTTCACTCTTTCGGCGTCAAATCAAGAGCTATAAACTCCCTAACACATTCAGAAGTTCACCTGATTTCAAAATGTTCCTGTTGTCTGTAATGAACATCTTGGCTGCTTTTGTGAGTGCCATGAATGTGACAATAGGAATCTTTAGTAACACTTTATATAATGCTTTAAAATCAACATGAAGTTAAAATTGACCCTGTTTACTTCATTAATACACATTCCTGACTTTATTGTAAATGATTAATCAGTTCCAATTAATTTCAACAACAATTCCAAAACAATTCTATAAATTCTTCTATAAAGCCATGACACTCCTGGCACGTTGAGCCTTGATGTTTATATAGTTGACACGGGTTCAAATCCGGCCTGGCAAATTTTCCATCTCTTACTTATAACATCCATCCTCTTTCTACTGTATCTGTTGAATAAAGTTCTTTGCAATAATTTTCGTGTTTTTTTTTCATTTTTGTTTTTTTTCGTATTCGTCATCCTTTCCTATCGAAATGCTTGCTACGGATGGGAAAACGCAGAAAAATCTAACTTGACCCGAATTTTTTTATGACTGACGAAACTTTCGGAGGCAGTGTGTAAACATGATTGACACAACGTGAGGTCGTATTTATTTTTTAACGTGCGGAAATTTCGGACGAGAATTTCGGACTCAGTGTGCAAAGACCTTAAGAATCAAAAGGAAAAACACATTACATAATGCTTGACAGATCATTATTGCACATGAACAGGTAGTTCGAAATATAATGAAACTTTGATTAATATATTATATATATTTAAAAAAAATGTAACATTCATTTATTCATATTTGACTGATCTGTTAAACATTATATTATGAAAATGACTAACCCAATGTTATTATAAAATGTCACCTATTTTTTGGTCAGAAATGTAACACCTGTCTAAGTGTTTGTGTAGTTTTTGTGTGCGTATGTCAAATGATAATTCAGAGTGACTTGTGAGCTATTATTACACTCCTAGGATATTTATTCAAGCTGTAGTGGTGATTATGATGTCATCGTATGAGATAAGTTGACATGTTTCCATGGTGATAATGTGACTGTGGGAGTTCTCTTAATGGATCATTTAACAGTGCAGCTCAGTAATATTTGTAAAAAAGTGCTGCGTTCTATAAAAGAGCTGCCTCGTAATCGATTGCGTCGCTGCACGGGGGCATTTCCAATTTTTAAGAGACAGCTTGCCAAAATAATTTCTCACTGTTACAAGCAGCAATAATGTAGTTTGTTTCACGCTTTAAGATGCACAAGCAAAACATTTTGAGTGGTAAATAGTGCGCAGTCTCTTTAAATGATCCTGTTTTGCAGCAGATAAGCCACATATGGTAAAATTACATTACCCATGTGGATGAGGTCACCGTGTGAACGGCTCCCGTTTGCATGAGGCAGGAAACAGACATAGACACTGGATGTTTCACTGGAAGTGCACCACATCTCTGAAGCGATTGTGCTTCATTTAAATGGCATGATTCCCAGCCTTGAAACTTTTATGTATTTATTTTCTGCAAGTTCCTGCAGATGTGACAGTCTGATGACCCTGTCTGCTTCTGTGTGCGATAAGTCTGTTTTGAAATGAGGTTTGTGGATGGGTCATGAGGTTGGGTTAGTCCCTTGAATGCTTTGGTGTCCATTTCATTATTGTATTGTGGCATTTAGAGCAATGCATGCTGGGAATTTCCAAGATAAGATTTGGCAGCTCACACAGGAGAGCTCTAATAACCTTGTGCTGTGTATTAAGATCAGTTGTTAAACCTTATAAAGGCATAAAGCAAATGTGATTTTTTTATTTATTTTTTTTGCTGTAAGCCTTGTATGATTCAATTGTTTGTAGAGCTTTATCTATATGAATACTAGTTGTGCTAACAAGGTTTTCAGAAGTATAACAACACATGACTAACCGGGACTTGCCACAGCACTTACATATTATTGCTCTTTTGTTGGTTTGATTGCTTCAATTGTCCGCATTTGTAAGTCGTCATGGATAAAAGCGTCTGCTAAATGACTAAATGTAATGTAATGTAAATGTAAATGACTCTAGAGTAGTTCACCCATAATTCATCATTTACTCATTCTAATGTTGTTCCAAACCTACTGGAGTTTTTATCTTCTTTGTAGAGCACAAAAAATGATTTAAATGAATGTTTGCGCTGCTCTTCTTCATACAACAAAACATTGTGACCAGGGCCTGTCAGGCCCAGAAAAGACAGACAGATATGTACTTAAAATCTGATCCATACAACTTAGGCTCTATATTTAATGTCATCTAAAATCATATTATAGGTTAGAATTTATAGTGTTGTTCAAATGTTTGCGGGTCAGTGCGGTTTTTTTTTTTTTTGCTCGCCAAGGTTCTATTTATTTGATCAAAAATACAGTAAAAACAGTAATGTTATTGAAAAATATTATTGCAATCTAAAATAACTGTTTTCTATGTGAATATATTTTAATATGTTATTTATCCTGTGATGCAAAGCTGAATTTTCAGCAGCCATTATTCCAGTTTTAAGTTTGACTGATGTAATATGATTGTAATATGCTGATTTACAGCTTTATATTCTTGTGGAAACTGATATATATGTGTGTGTGTGTGTGTATGTACATGTACATATATATATATACTGTATATATACAATTCTTTGATTAAGGTTTTACTGTCAGTTTTGATCAATTTAAAGCATGCTTGCTGAATAAAAGTATTAATTTCTTTAAAAAAAAGTTATTAAATTATATGGCATCTAGACTTTGAATATATTTCACAGGGGCTACTTTTACCTTTTTTGCCCTTCTCAATATTTTCCTTTCTGTTCCTCTGAACAAAGTAAGTCATACTGATATAAAATGACATGGATGAGCAAATCTTTTTTTTTTTGTTATACCGTATTGGCCCGAATATAAGACGACCCTGATTATAAGACGACCCCCCTTTTCCCAGATGTCCAAGAAAAAAACATCGTCTTATATTCGGGTCAATACGGTATATAGTGTTATATCTCTCTCAGTCCCTGATTTACCTGAATCACTCTGGAAGCTTTTATTCTTCTGCTCCTAACTTTTGCAAAGCATCTCCTAATGCCTGGGATCATTTAAAAGAGCAGTCTTAAATGCCCAAAGTCTGTCCACTTGAATAGTTTGAATATAAAGTAGTAACATTAAGCTTTTAACTCCACACTTCAGCAACATTCGTGAACTTTGAAGCTTTGAAGTAACGTTTCCTTTACACTGGGGAAAAAAAAAGCTTTTCCTCATCCGCCTGAATCCACTTTAAATAGCGGCCCGTTCCATGTCCTTTATGCTTCGTGTCTACTTTCTGACAAGAGGCCGATTGGTTGGTGGCCCAGTTCTCTCTGGCTGTGAAGTGCTTCTGAGAGCTGCAGATGAGGGATTTCGCTATAGTCACAGCAAATCTGTCTGATATTAGCGTCGGTGAGAGGTGGCATTTCCCCCACACTTCTGTCCCTGTGTGCGAGGAGGCTGACATTTCACACGAGTGGAAATGTGCAATCATTACTTGAGTGGATGGCTAATCGGATTGCCCTGTTTGAGACAAGAGTGTTTTTTATTACATCCATGTAGAAGCAGATGGAAAGCATTTCATTGTCTGTGTGAGAGTTGACTCTTTCGGTATTTGAAATGTAAACTCGGAGTGCCAGTCGGATACTAGCCCAGGTGTCGTTTCCTCGGTTTTATAGTCGGTGAGTCCGTTTGAAATGCTGAAGGAAGCTACTTATTTGGATGATTCTTGGAAACCTTTTAGATCTGTCATTGTGGACACAATTTAATCTCAGGACAGTCTCAGTTACAATCAGTCATTATTATTGCTGCGTTTATGGAAGAGACCAAAAATACAGTAAAAACCGTAATATTTGAAATGATTAGAGCGTATTAGAATGATTTCTGACATTGAAGACTGGAGTAATGGCTGCTCAATTTAGCTTTGCCATCACAGGTATAAATTACATTTTAAAAGATATTAAAATAAGAAACTGTTATAACAGTTTGTAGTAATATTTCTGTTTTTACTGGATTTTTGATCAAATAAATGCAGGCTCGGTAAGCATACGAGTATATTACAAATGTATTTATTGATTAGTTATTTTAGTTTCATTTTAATGAGCTTCGCTACGATTTTACAGTATGACTTATATTAAAGGAATGGTTCACACAAAATGAAAATCCTGTAATGATTTACTGTCATTATAAGACAAAAACAAAATGTTGGCACTGTAATCATCTCGTAATTGCAAATTAAGTAATTTCTACAAATATGCACCTGGGCATTTCTTTCACTCTCCTATCACTCTTTAATCAAATCTCAATGTGTTCTCAATTCTAATCATCCAACAGTGATTTCAAATTAAATCCACTCCCTGGAGTTCATCTAATCACAGCTCGTTACACCAGTTTTTTGGGTTGCTGTATCCTTACGTCACACTGCAGTTTACCTCTCACAAAATTACCCCCTTCAGCCGTCAAAAATCACCTAAAATAACCAAAACCACCCTGAAATCACTTCCCCATCTTCTCTTCGTTACACTTTCTGGCTGACTCTGTCCTTCCATTTGCCCTCATTTCCCCTCTCCCACTGGCCCAAAACAGGGCAATTGCCCGCCCCATCTAAAAGCAGCTGTTATTGTCCAGCAGAGCTCCCAGACCCGACGAACAAGAGCACAAACGGTCACAGGCGTTGAGGACACCATGGTAAAGTCCACATGTTGTACATTTGTGTCTTCTTGGTTCTTCTTCTTTATTTATTGATTGATTGATTTATTTAGAGGTGTTAAGTATATTCATTATTATTAATATAATTACATTTTTATTACTTAATTTATATACATTTTTATTTATTTAATTTATATTTATAAATTCATAATTTGTTTTAATAAATTTATACATTTTTGTTAGGAGCTTTCTTTAATGCGATATAAGAGATTGTGAGTTTTTTCTTTTTTCATTTATTTATTTCCATTTTTAGTAAGATGGTTAAGAATAATAATAATTATTATTATTTAAAATTAATGTAATTTCTTTTATGATATTAATTTATATTTATAAGTGTATACTTTTTGCGCATATACAGTTTAATTTAGCCATTTATTTTATTAAGAGCACTCTTTATTTGACACATCTCATTTCATAATTTCTTTTTTTAATTTTATTCCAGTTTTTTAGTGTGTATGTCTATAAATTTAGAGATTGTGAGGGATCGATTTACACCACCACTTGTCCATCTTCACCCAGACATATTTATCGGATTCATTTCTAATGTATCCATAATACTATTAAAGCATGTCACCTTGTGTGGAGTTTGTTTTGGATGCTGTGTTTAGTTGTGCTTAGGTGTATTTGTATCTACATTTGTGTTAGTATTCTGGTTTTAAGTGTACAGTATTCCCACACTCATCATATTGAATGTCATATCAGTTAACAAGGCTTCTCCTACAGATATGACCCTGATATAAAATCTATACAGATTCATTCATTGTAGCAGAACTGACAGTGATACAGATTTTAATATCAGCAAGTTTCTCCTGCTGCTTCTTTTTTTTGAATATGCAAACTCATCTGTTCTTTTCACTCTGTTCAGTCTCCATCGGCCTCCTACGCCCTGACCACACCAGGCCTTCCGCCAGGCTGGGAGGAACGCAAAGACAACAAGGGACGAATGTACTACGTCAACCACAACAACCGTAGCACCACCTGGACGCGGCCCATTCTGCAGGTAGCAAAGCCTAGCTAAAGTTAACGGAGGTCTGTTCATCCTCCGATGTTTTTCCAGCATCATCCACTGTCAAATCGAAATGTCTTCAATGGTTCTTCTCTTCTCTATCAATCCCGTCTTCTTTTTGTTGTTCTTCCTTTATCTGTGCTTCCATGATCTTGTGTACTTGTCCCGTCACAATGTCTGGATGTTATTTCGTGTTTTCTTGATTTATTCATGGTTCTTCTCTTCTCTATCAATCCCGTCTTCTTTTTGTTGTTCTGCCTTTATCTGTGCTTCCATGATCTTGTGTACTTGTCCCGTCACAATGTCTGGATGTTATTTCGTGTTTTCTTGATTTATTTATTGCTACTCTGGTTGCTCTTGATCTATATCTTATCTTTCTGTTCCTTGTGGTAGTAAACTCTCTATTCTTCATCCTTCGTTTTTTTTTAAATAACAGACCAGATAAAAGGCTTATTTAACTGATCTCCGATCTGTTAACTTCCTTAAAATATTCTGTAGTCATTTAAAAACCAATCAGACTTCTATGTTTGTCCCCACAATCAAATTAAACCTTACAATTATTGATCAGTTTAATAGCATTCATTTCCTAATACAGAATTTTAGACCTTGCTCTCCATTCTGGATCCCTTTTAAACCTTGAATGCAGACTCAGTGTTGGACGGCGTGCCCTTGTACAAGACCTTGTGGTGACTAGCTAATTGATCCCTTTCTTTGACCAGCAGCACACTGAAGATGGAGCCAGTACCTCAGCTGCGGCAGTAGGGGGCGCTACAGCAGCCACGCCCCCCGCTTCCACCCCTTCCTCCTCCAGCGGCCATCTAAGCGAACCTCAAGTGCGCAGACCCCGTAGCCTCAGTTCCCCCACCGTCACTCTCTCTTCCCCGCTAGAGGTGAGAACATCCTCCTTTCCCTCTATTTTGTCCCCAAACTTCCTTCTTTCCATTTACTTTGCCCCTCCACCTGATTCCAGTCCATGTATTAAAGGGATAGTTCACCCAAAAATGGAAAATCTGGCATCATTTACTCCCCCTCCACTTGGTCCAAACCTGTATGAGTTTCTTTCTTCTGTTGAGCACAAAAGAAGATATTTTGAAGAATGTTGGTAACCAAACAGCTGACGGTAACTATTGACTTCCATAGTATTTTTTTTCATACTATGGAAGTCAATGGCTACCAGCCACTCTTTGATTACCAACATTCTTCAAAATGTCTTTTGTGTTCAACAGAAGAAAGAATCTCATACAGTTTTGGAACAACTTAAGGGCGAGTAAATGATGACCGAGTTCCTTTTAACTGTTTGATTCGTCTCAAAAAATCTTGGCTGTGATTAACCAGTATTTTGTTTAATTTCTTTGTATTTTTATATAGTTTATTGTCACAGTGTCACATGATCCTTCGGAAATCATCTATTAACATGAATGATTAGAACGATTGTTAGGTATTAAAATGAGTAGAATATATAAAAATATAAAAATTGATTTTATAATCCATAAACATTATGAAGGTCTTTACTGTCACTTTTGAACAATTTAAATTATCTTTGCGTTTTAGAGTGTTAAAAGAAGTGTTAACTTCTTTCATTTTTTATTTTCATTTTTTCTTTCATTATATTAACTTTGTTTTGTTTTGTTTTTTAAATTTTTACTTTTTTTGTGTACTTTTGTACTTGACACTTGTCCTTGCCATATTTTGCTTTGTTTGTCTTCCTCTGCAAATTAGTGACAACAGTGCCAGTCATTGTTTTGTTTTTTTGCCTCATACATATTGTGGTTTTGTTCCTCATATTTTCGCTTTGTTGGCTTAATGTGAGGAATATTTATTATATGTGTTGACTCATGAAGTTCTGGAGAAAAAAAAAAGATTCCTTCTAGATAAACTTCTGAGGAAAATGTTGTTTGCACAAAGCTCAAGTGTCGACATATGTTGCCTTCAGGTTGTGTGTCTTTGATTTGAATCGTGACACATATGTAAGATTCAGATTATCATTCATGCAATTGACAAAGACAGTTATTTCATCACATTTGGTGGTAGTCAGTGTTAATTTTAAACCAGGTTTCACACCTGTTTTATTGCAACAGTGCAGTGTAATATAATGACAATATCCACACACAGTTGGTCAAAATAGGAAATCAGAATCTCATTCTATGCACACTGCCACTGGCTTCTTTAGGTTTGAACAGCTGAGTCGTAGCCCTTGCATTTTGCATGGATCAGTTTTATTATGAAAGTCTGATGTCCAAAAGCCAAATCAGTTGAGAGACAATTTCCTGACCCATCTGCTCCAGACCTATCAATTCAAGTTAATTTAATTCACTTTGATGAACAGTAAAAGAAAAAAAAAAAGAAAATCCTGTTATTTCTGTTTAGTGCTGTTGTTATAGCTTTTGTTTTATTAAGCGTTTCTGATAGAAAAAAGTTTAGGAAAATGTCCAAACAGCCATACATTCTTGAAAATACAAATTTTTGCAATAGCCAAAGGGTTCTTTATTTATTTATTAATTTTTTTTAATTAGTGCTGGGCAACGATTACATTTTTTTTTTTAATCGCGATTAATCGCGTGGTTTTCTGCAATTAATTACGATTAATCGCATTATGCACAAAATTCAATAATGAATTCAAAAGTAGTGTATTGTGCACTTTTTTCATTTAAAAATACTGCTATATGAACAAAAGTGCAATAACATTTGGTTTGCAAACACTTTAAACAAATAAGGTGCTTTTTTTTACAGTGGTATTCCTTTTACATAGTAGCAGTTAAATATTTCTTGTAAATCTCAATTTATGACATTAATGTAATCGAATTAAATCTAAAACCAAAGCCATTTGCCACTGCCAGGGCATTAACGTTTTTATAGAAAATATTTTATAGTTTGTTATAGAAAAACAAGTTATGCTCAGAGTCCAGAGCCTCGATCGTAACATTATAACATGCACCTTCCAAGTAGAGACCTGCACTATCGCGGGACAACACTTGATGGGCGAGTGCGGGTGTGTGTGTGGGTAGAGACTCGTGTGTGCGGGATGCGGGAGAATAAGGGTGTATCACACTAGGCGGTTTGAAACTTCCTATTTCCCACTTATGAAGTCGTGAGCGCTTCATGCGAGCACTGCGCTGCTGCAGTCTTATGCCCTCCCCAAATGCTCTCATTGGTTGAGACGCGTGATGACACCCATCCCAAGCCAGTACTGATCAACATCCCACCCCTCCTGTGACCCATGGTTTGTCTGTATGTGTATTCAGAGCCAGTGAGCAACGGTCTTTCATAATAATAAAAAACTGCGTTAACGTGTGATAAAATAATTGTCGGCGTTAATTAATTAATGCCTTAACGCCGCAATAATGCGTTAACTTGCCCAGCCCAATTTTTTTTTTTTATATAATAAGTATTTCACAGTTGTGGCAGTGGTTGATTTCTGGAAAGAAGAGTGTCTGATATATGAAGTAAATGGATAGTTAACATGAGATACTTCGGGGAAAGATAGTGTCTACTACCCAGATATTGATATTCAAATATTATCTATAGGTCAGGTATTTTGCATAATAACTGTTAAAATGTATATTTGCTTTCTTGGTCAGGCAAGTTCCTGCATATATATGCAAATTTTTGTCTTTCATATCACATCTTGGTCACTTTGTTCTCCCAAAATGAAATCATTTCAACCATGCAATATTTAAATAGTTCAACCATGAGAACTTATAGGTGTCCCAATAATTTGGCATATGTTTTGGAGAACTTTTTATTTATTTCACTTTTTTGTTTAGTTTTATTTCAATGATGAAAGGATAGATTTGTGTAAATATTTAATTAAGGAGAATGTAAAGATATTTTCCACAGCCCATTATATACTGTCAGAATGGCAATTTTGTATTTTTTTTTTAATTTAATTTGGTTATGCCTCCTAAGATGTGACTGACTATACAAATCTTTAAAGAACAGGTTACTGACATGTATTGTACTGTATTTGTAATCGTCCCACGGACTTTCAGAAGTTTAGTCCTTATTCATGATGAATTGAGCAGCTGCTGTGTGTATCAAGTTTTAATGTACTCATCGACATTTACTTTTGCATGGAGGGAACAGGACTTCTACACCCACTTTGTAAATTTGTATCAGCTGACACTACCTAAGACTTGGGTTGGGGCAGCTGTCCGTTTGCTTATCGTGAAACGCGCCAAGGTGTCACCATTGCCAAAAAGAAGTTTAACCTCTCAAACAGCCATGACTTCATAGTTTCCTTCTGTTCTCTTGCTCTAAATCCATGTCTAACCTTAAACCTACTTCTTATTTTGCTTTTATAGTACATTGTTCTGAAATATATCTTCTAAACTTTCCAATAACATGCTTTCAATTAATGTTATGACATGTTTAAATTTAATTTAATTTAATTTTAATTTAATTTAATTTTTATAGATATTATGTTATTTGTTTGTGATGCTTTGGACTTGTGTAAGTGCTGTTTTACTGTTTGTTTTTATAAACGTATCGCAATTATTTCCAGTGGTAATCGAAAACAGGCTACATATGGTGTTTATAGAGCTCAAATCATAATTTAATCCAGAATATTCCTTTGAAAATGGCAAACAATTTTATCTGCGATGATGGGCCTCAGCCAGAGCTAATGGCTTCCGCTGTGAAGAATGACTTTGCTAATGGAATAAACAATAGCTCTTGTGGCTAATCTGCAGATGTTGGGGAATAAATGTCTTGTGTTTGCTCTCAGAGCAATTATTGCTAATTACAGGCACAAATTTCCATGTAAAAAAAACATGATAGCTGACAAAAAAGGCATGGGGTGTGGTATCGATTAAAATCCCTCTTCTGTCCCTCTTGATTCTTTCTGTCATATAGCTTGAGCTCGATATTTTAAACAAAACTACAGTTTCAGCACATCTCTTAACCGAAGCATCACTCGCCACTTGAAATATAAAACACTTTGCGGATATTGTCACAGAAGGGCAATTTTTACTGTGCAGAAAGCAAGTAGTGAAATCAAATGAAATATGTATCTTTTTTTTTTTTATCTTAGAACAGGGGAAAAAAAATCTTGACAATTGCTTTTCACCAATAAGAAAAGGGTTTCACTTTCATGTTATGCATTTGACATTATATCGTACAACTTGATATATATTGACTATAGTGAATGTAATGTAATATAATATAATATAATGCTGTTCATAATAATAATAATAATAATAATAATAATAATAATAAAAAAATAATATTCCTCTATTTATTTAAATGATATTATAATATTTTTGTTATTATACTATTGTTTATGATGCTGTAGATTAGTGGTTATGGATTTGTTTTTATATAATATATTATTTTAGATATGATGTATGTATTATTTATAATAACAATCCTATATTTGTTGTTAAGGATCATATGATATTTTATATATTAGAATATTATTTATGATGCTGCTGTAGACTTGTGGAATTGCTGTTTTGTGACTTGTGGTTTTGGATTGGATTTTTTATAGAATAAAATGGAATATTTTATCTAATGTTGTTTATAATAACATAATAATGTTTCTCTATTTATTATCAATGATAATATATTTAAGATGTTAAAATATTATTTATGAAGCTGTTTGTTTTTAATATAATATAATATTCCTCTACCATTTATGATAATATAATATTTTAGATATTATAATAGTATTTATGCTGCTGCTGTAGACTTGTGGAATTGCTGTTTTTACAAATTATCTTACATATAAGTATAAAGTTGTAAAACAAGATAATATGGCTAAAATGATTCACAAAAGTTTGAGTGTTAAGTTAGGAGCTACATTAGTTGCTGAGAAGTGTGAAGAAGGATAAAATAAAGTTTGAGGGATTTCTGTAAAGCGCCTGCTTAGAAAGTAATGTAAAAATATCTAATTTTAAGTTACATTATCTGAATTTTGAAAGGCTTTTTCATAAAGTTAAGAGCTGGTTCTTTGTAATTCATGTTCTGTGTTATTAACACTCTGGGAACACGGTCGTTTTCCTTATTCTCATCTTATTGCCTTTGTTGGTTTAGCTTTCAGAAGGAAAGAATACCCAGAATTTTTTCATCAGATAAGCAATTATGACTAATCACATGACAGGTGCTACATTTTCTGCATCTGATGTCAATGAGAAACAATTAAACATTTCACAAAGGTTTAAAAGTTTGCATAAAGAAGTACTAGGTTGTATTTATAAATGATCAGGGTTGCACAGGGCCATGCGAATTTTAATTACAGTGTTGAAAGGGAAACATTTGTTTTTGGAAAAAAAAAGAAGAAAAAAAACGAGAGGGAGAGAAAGACATCCAGAGGTGAAATGGAAGTGAAATCCTCCTGAGTTGTGTGCTAATTAAAATTTTAGCAGGATTAAATAACAGCGTGCCGCCTCATTAGCACGTACTGCGCTTTCCAAATCTTTTCAGTTTTTTGACATATCCCATTCGTAAAAGTCTTTCTTACACAAAATTCTAATGAATTATACACAAAAGCAGTAAAAGAAAATAATAGAGTCTGGCAAACGGGGAAATAATTAACGTTGGCTCTGTTTCCTTTTGCAGGGAGCCAATAACGCCCAGATACGGCGAGCCGTAAAGGACACGTTTTCCAACCCTCAGTCCCCGCAGCCTTCTCCCTACAGCTCACCCAAATCCCAGCATAAGGCAAACCAGAGCTTCCTGCCACCTGGATGGGAAATGAGAATAGCACCCAATGGACGGCCGTTCTTCATCGACCACAACAGCAGAACCACCACATGGGTAAGACAAACACTCACAAAATCTCTCCCAAAACTAGTTAAGTTCATGGTAAGGGCAATCCCAGAATGCTTTGTAATGACCTCCGAGGAAAAAAATGCAAGATGGCCATGAGTGAAAAAAATGAAATGTTCACTATAAAATATGTTTATAGCTCTACCTAATTAAAATCACGCTTAGTAGCACGGTAATGACAAACCCTGTTGTAATCATGGTAGTCATATGTGCAGTCATAAGCCCTATTCGCACGGGATTAGTATTATCTGGGGACCTTGTGTGATTTTGAAATTACAATCCACCTAC